GTAGAAAAGTCTAAATAATACTATCGTTTTAATATCAAATATTTAAATTACATTGTTATTGTATACAAAAAATATCCGGCAAAATGCCAAGATCTCTACAAAAATCAAATGGTCGAATCATCTACGGATAAACAATCAATCACATAGAAATAAATGAGATGAAGACAATAATATACGTCACAAGCTTCTCTCTCTTACGGTTTCACTTACCTAAATTATCCTCTCATTTTTTCAATAATTTTTTTTCGTTTTGTATTTATGTAGTTTTGTTTCCTCTCGTTTGAGGGTTTGAGTTGAACAGGTGAATCAGAAACCAATGAAATCATCAACAATTCCTATCTTTTAATTGATCAAATATATATGTGACAAAAAAATAAAACTTGATCAAAGTAGGGAAATGCATCCATATTGCTTAATTTAGTAGCTTCTAATTAAAGGATAAAAGGATTCCATATCATAGTACACTCAAATTAAAATCAAATCCTCTGCTACATGTAGCTCAATTGTTTTAAGATAATAACAAAATATGACTATATATATGTGTATATATAATTCACATTTTCTTACTCTGATTTGAACCAAATAAAAGATCTGTTGTATTTGGGTTTGAGAATGAGTTTACAAATGGGCCACAGGTTTAGAACTGAATCACTTTGGCCCAGACTAAACTATATTTCTTACTTAGCTTCGTTTCCTTGCTATATATACCAAAGTCTTAGTTAGAATTTTGGCAATTTGCCAACCGCATGAAGTTTGAAATTGTTTTCCGAATCTTTTGAGAAATGTTTGTTAGTTGTTATACACTAAACTCTTAATTAGAATGAGTTTAGAAGAAAAACATTTTTTCACTAACGCGAGATGAATAGTGGTGTAAAAGCATTTCCATCCAAAATTTTGTATGAGCTACTTTATCAGTGTATAATAAAACAATTAATGCAATGTCAACAACATATTTTTCAAACATTGTCGATTAAATATACACCATCTAAGGTTCAACTACATTTGTGACGAATTCATTATCGTAAAATTGGTACTATTTCGTAGTGTCCATACAAAATTAAAAGTACAGAAAAAGTCCAACAATATATGTAGGAAGAAGATAGGATATTCGTAAGATGCGTGTGGTCTCTTATCTCGCACGTGCG